GGGTGGCCTACCCAGGCATTGCCCAGCCCTCACCCAAGCTCTTCCCTGTGCCGAGAGTGGCACAGGGCAGCCAGTGGGACTTGTAATTAGGCACCTGTTAAACCTCCACTTACTATTGACCATGTCGTCCTCTGGGTGACAACAGTCGCCACATTTTACTGCATCCACGGAGCCCTCCTCACCACTCATTTTCTGCCTCCTTCCCTGGGGGAGATGGGGAAGAGGAAGGAGAAGCCAGGCCGAGAAGGAAGAATGACCAGACCTGAAGAGTTAACACTGGCTCCAGGCACGGGGGTCTGTCACACCTCCCAGTGTGCTCCAGCACCCACATCCACCCCCCTATCCCCAGTGAACTTCCCTGACCCCCCAGGGGGACTCTTCTAGGTAAAGGTCTGTGAGAAGAGACACCAGGGAAGGGGACACTTCCTCCACGCTGAGACCTGGGGCTGGAAGGAAGGCCTAAGCAGGTGAAAGAGACCAGGGAATGCCCAGCCCGCCTTCCCCCTCCCGCCTCTGTCCTTTCAAAGGGAGTCGGACCTCCTGAGCTGAAAGGGGGAGGGAAGGGGCCTGTGCAGGAACGGGGTCTTCCCTTGGCTGTCCTCACCCATGCCCGACTCAAGGTCATCCCTGAGAGTAGGGGACTCCTGAGGGCCAGGGGTGGTATGTGGGACCCAGGCCCCCACCTCCACACCAAACTAGAACCAGTTCAGTGAGGCCTGAGAGGAAAAGGCCCAGGGTGTGTGGAGGGGGTGAGGAATGCAGGGGGCAAGTGAATGCTGGCGAAACCGGTGCCAGGAGGACTGGGGACGGGTGTGCCTGCGTGGGTGTGGGGGTGCTGCGTGCCAGGGTGTCTCTGATGGGGAGGGCTCAGCCCCTCTGTACATGCTTTGAGGGATCACAAGGTGTCCTGGCTTCTGTGCACAGGAAGAGTGGCCAGGCCTTAAAGGGTTAACACAGACCCAGTGTTAACTGGGTCCTTGAGACCAAAGACTCTCATAACCTTAACTTGTCATTGGGTGACTAAGCCGGCATAGTTCTGGGCAGGAGCTGGGGTGGGGAGGGTCTTGGCGTGCAGGGAGAGAATATAGAGGGTCAGCCCTTGCTGGTTGGTCCAAGGGTCACGGAACAGGCCTGTGTCCCCCTGGACTCCAGGACTACCCCACACACCACAGTGGGAGTAGGGTCACGAGTGACCCTGTTCTATAGCTCAGCTCCCACCAAGGAGTTGGGCGCCCTCCTTATCCCCTGATGTGAGGTGCAGGAAGAGCAGAGGGGGAAGAGTTTTAGGGAGAGTTATGGGGCTCAGGGATGCTGCCAGGGCCCACCCCTCTGGGAAAAATGAGACAGAACAATAAGGAAGCATGAGGAGTCCCCGCGTCTCCACATTCCAAACCCTCCACTCGAGCTGCCAACAATAACAGGGTGCTCTGGGGCCCACCAGAAGTACATAATGAATATCCTTATTTCTTTGTCTATTTTGAGGTTTATGGGATTGTCCTGCACCCTCTGGAGAGCAGGGATCATTATCCCCATTTTACAGATGGGGAAACAGAGGTCTGGAGAAACATGGGGATTCAGTATGGTGATGCTGCTGGGGCTAAATGGGGATCCCCAAGGATCCTAACTGTCAGTCCAGGGTGGTCTAAGGTAAGGGCTTGGTGACCCTATGGGTTACTAGACTGCTCTATGGGAAAAAAGCATGGAAGATGGAAGATGGAAGTGGTGGTTGGAGGGGACACAGGTGGGACCAGGAAGAGGGAGACTGAAAAGAAAGGAGTAAGGTTGTGGTTACACTAAACTGAAGTGCATGGTTGGGGTATAATTGGGTTCTGGACTTGAGCTGATGTTAGAGTTGGGGTGAAGGCTAGAGCTGGGGTTAAGTTTGGAGTTAGTTAAAATTATGAATGAGGTTGAGATCAGATTTAAGGTTGGGATTAGGGTTAGAATTACAGCTAGAACTCAGGCTAGAGTTTATGGCTGGGATTGTGTTATAATAAGGAACATGGTTTTAGTTTATTTTACAGCTATGCTTGGGAATACAGTTAGAGCTAAACTGAAGGCTGGGTTCAGATTGGTTTAGGATTGGGGTTACAACTGGGTTAGAACTGAGTTTGAGATTCAAGTAAGAATAGGCTGTGGTTAGGTTTAAAACATGGGTTAAAGATATATGGGCAGGGGGATTCATGGGGCTCAAAGATGAGGTTTTATTTATGATATAGAAAGACTTCAGCTTCCATCTGCTACATCCAGGTTTGGCTACAATTTCTAACCCTTAACTCGAGGAGAATATCAGTGACACATGTTGGTTGGGGTCCCAAGGTTTTGAGGAAGGATACAAATGCACATGATCCCATCTGAGGAGTATGAAGCAACTTCATCCCATAACAAACGTAACCTCTTAAGTCCTGCTCCCCAACTAAAGCTCACCACCTGGTCAAGTTCCAAGAAAGGCATTTGGGGAGGGGATGCAGGAAAGTATTAGCAATGAGAGGGGCTCCAACACTAAACTGAACTAGAATATGGGGTCCATCGGAGGGGGACTTACTGGGGTGGGGGGGTCTGGTTTTGGAGTCTAGTTGATAACAGTTGAGGGGAAACAGAGGGCCTAGGTGCTCCTAGAAGAACGGCCACTTTTGAGGGCACCACATTGGGGTCTCTCAAAGCCTGAACCATCATTGCTATCCTGCAACCCATTGAGGGTTAACTGCCACCTTCTTGCAACTGGGGCCTATAAAAGAAGCTGTCAGCCTTCCTGAACTGTGCCTGTTATTAGTCTGTTTTGTGTTGCTATAACAGAAATACTTGAGACTGAGTGATTTATAAAGAAAACATAATTTATTGCTTACTGTTTCTGAGGCTGGGAAGTCCAAAGTCCATCTGGTGGTGACAGTGACCCAGGGGTCTCACTTTGCAAGATGGTTGAAGGAGAGAGGGAGAGGGAGGGGGAGGGGG